AATTCTCAAACCCTATTTTCAATAAATGCCTGAAGGCTGACTGCCTCATTCCTGTCATGGTCCAGAGATGGAACTGTTGTAAGTATCCTACCATAAACTCTGTCCTGCAGCAAAATGGATGTCTCATGAAACACTGAGCTCCCCAGCTCTGCAAACAGTGCCCAGACTTTCTCTACCAGTTGAGTTTTCATCAGCCCATCTTCCTTTCAGCATAGAGATGATATGTTAGAACCCAATGGAATAAAGCGTTAAGGGTCATAGTTACAGTGGATCAAATTTCAACACATTGTCATCATGTTGACTTGCACCATCAGACACGGTAGCCTGGCCTTATTTCTTTCAGGGTTGAACCAACTCATATGTGCCAACTGCTAGCTGAGGTCATTGCCTCCCAGGAAGCAGTTGGTGGGAGGTTGGAGGGTTAACTTTCTGCCCTCTCCCAGGTCTCGGCCCCACATGGCAACTGTATTCTGGCCCCATTGTGTGATCCCCATCTCATCTGTATCAGAATGAGTATTGCACATTATGAGACCAGGTAGTTACATATTTAAATGCGATTAAAAATTATTCTTTGAAATGAGGCATTCACAATATTTTCATTCAAAATGCAAGACTGTTATCCCAGGTTGTCCCTAATACCGTATTTTGCATTTGTTTCTCATACCTTGAGGCCACTGCTGACCAGTGGATTTTAGCCTAGAGGGGTCTGCTTAGAGCAGAGGGTTGCACCTCCATTAACATCAGTGAATTGGAACTGTTCTTCTATTTCTAGGCACTTCATTCCATTGTAAGTTTATGATCATTACTTTGTAAAATACCATTTTATGAGTTTAGTTTTGTGTGTAATTCTCCACCTCCCACCCCCTCTTATTTTTTCCCATTATTAGAGCCTTGTTTGTTAAGAACAAAAAGTAACAGTGCACACTGGTGGTCACAGTTTCATGAACATACAGCTTTTCACTGGTACCTGAATATTTGCCTTCTGAGTATAATAAATGAATTTAAATGGTTCCTAAAAATGAGTAGGCAGTGCCAGCTTCTCAAGATGGAGGCTAAGCCAGTATTTAGAAAGCCTCTGCCTGTTGTAACACTTGCTGGCAGGTGCGATGGGCACTTGCTTTCTGTTTTGTGTATCTGGAGCAATTACCACTGCCTAAAGTAGACCAGAGATGGGTTCCTGGGAGGGACCCTTGTGACAGTTCAGAAAGTAGCCATCGTATCAAAGCAACCCTTGACCTAGAGCAGACACTCAAGGTGTCCTGATAAAAGTGTTCAAGGGGCCCCCTCGCTAGTCCCCTCAGCCTCAGTAGTCTCCTATCCTGAACTTGTCTGGATTTCTCAGTTGACAACTACTCATCTAATCTTGCAATGGCTTTTCCATTGTTGACTGACTTACATTGTTACTTAGTTAACTTTTCATCATTTGTATTGTACGTCTTCTACAAAGCTAAATTGTAGGTCTCTTGAGCACAGGCCTGAGTCCTGCACATACCCTTCCCTCACACCACTGAGCACAGAAGAAGAAACAGACTGGACTTGGTTTGGAATCCTAGCTCTCCATTGACTAGCTCTATGACCATGGATAAACTCCTTCACCTCCCTGCTTCACAGTTTCCTTAGCTACAGAATAGGGGCAGTCATGCCTGCCTTGCAAGGCGTTACAAGAGCACAGTGCTGGGCACTAGGAGATACTTGGTAAATGGTCATTCTGGCTCACCAAACAAAGCCTCACACACAGAAGCTGAGCAAAATCTTGCAGACTTAAGTATAGCAAAGCAGGACTGAAACCAGTATGGGAGATGAGCTAGTTATGAGCTCTTGAACTTTCATGGTGAGGACACCATTTCCTCTGCCCTTGGGCTTAAGTGACAATTTACAAACCAGGTTTTTTGGCCAAGCACGGTGGCTCATGCTTGTAATCCCAGCACTTTGGGAGGCCAAGGCAGGCGGATCACGAGGTCAGGAGATTGAGACCATCCTGGCTAACATGGTGAAACCCCGTCTCTACTAAAAATACAAAAAAATTAGTCAGGTGTGGTGGCAGGCGCCTGTAGTCCCAGCTACTAGGGAGGCTGAGGCAGGAGAATGGCGTGAACCTGGGAGGCGGAGCTTGCAGTGAACCGAGATCACACCACTGCACACCAGCCTGGGTGACAGAGTGAGACTCTATCTCAAAAAAAAAAGGTTTTTTATCTGTGACTCTTTCATGATGATATGACGATCATTTCAAGCTCAGCATGTCTCCTAAGCCTCAGTGATATAAGGAGTGCCATTGATTTGTGATGTGGAGACTTTGCACATTTGCATCCTTAGTCCAGTTCATACATTTAAGCATCAGCTCTTCTCTAAGCGGAGATGCTTTCTCCAGCTCCTTGCAGCCAGCTGTGTGGCAGAGGGTGACTCCCAGTACTGCTTCCTGATCTACAGATCCCCATGGATGTCCCTTGCTTCTTTAGAAATTTTCTTTACAAGAGGCCACAGTGGAGGATAGTGGTAAGGCTTACGTAGACCTACAGCATCAAAAAAAAAAAATGGTGATAAGGATGGGAGTATGAGAAAAACTGTGTGAACAGTGTAAATATCATTGAAAGTAATTTCCTACATTTCCCATATAGTGAGCACCTTTGCCAAAACTCAAGAAGTGTCTTAACCACCCGTTCGGCAACTGGCACATTACAGAGGAGCACAGAATCATTATGAGGGCAGGGGTCAACTCTGCATTGATTTTACCATTTCTTTCTTTGTGGTGGAGCCATGTGGCAGTAAAGGAATAGGTCATGTGACATTCTTGTCACCTTCTTCAGTTACCTATAAATACACATTTCCTTGCTTTTTTACTTTCTTTTAAAGATTCCTGGAAGGACATAAAACAGATGTATTGTCAGTACTACATTTGCTGAACCTATTACCATGTCACCTTAGCAGGATACAAAATGTCAGTCAGATGAGCTCCTTTTTAATACTGTTACTGTGACATGGGGCAAACAAAGACCGTTGCCTGCCTGCCTTTGATCAGTTGATCAGTTTGGTTAGTTGATTTACATGATGCCTTGTTCCAAAAGTAACTTGAGACAGCACCCTCTAAACACACTGTGTTGTTACCTTGTGTACACAGTAGTAGTATGTTAGCACACAGTTCAACTTACGACATATTCGGTAACATACAAGCTTTTAACAAGTATTTATCATGTTAGAGACCCCAGGTTAGATTAGACGCAAGGTTACAAAGACAGACAAAACCATTCCTGATCTGAAGGAGCTTGCTGTCTTAGGGTAGAAACAGACACAATTAGGTATAATAAAAGGGAGATGGCAGTGATTGCCCACATAGAATTTATAATGTGGGTCTAGCAGTCATGGCTTTTTGTTTTGTTTTTTTAACCAAATATCTCTGGACTCGTCATCTGACAGGAAAAAAAAAAATTTAAGATGGAATCTTACTTAAGTACTTTAAAAAGATTAACAATTAAAATCCCGTTCAGTTACATGTCTAAGAAATTTCCCTTACTGGAAAGAATGCAGTGATATGAAGTCATTGCTGCCCTGGAGAATCCAGCACATTTCCTCACCTGGCTATGAGAGCTGAGAGGACAATGTCATTCATTCTCTCTAAGAGGACTGGAGAGCGCTCCCAAAGGAGTGAATGTCCAGGTTGAATCTTGAACATCAGTTACAGGTACTTGCAAGAATTTTGGCTCTGTATGCTACGGTGAGTTTAATACATGCAGAAGTCAGCTACAAAGCTTACCAGTTCACCTTGCAGTGCACTCACTCCCCCAGCTAAAATTTTGTATCACTGCTACCATAGCTTCTAGCAAGGACCCCATGATTGCTGCTTTCATTTGATTTGTACAGGATTTGTAGACATGCCTCACCTTCCTGTGGGGTCAGCGGTGCTTGCAAGAACCTAGAGGATGTGTGGTTTTATGTGCAGGGTAAGGAAGCCTACCCTGATGAACACCAGCAAGTTTAATCCATTTCCATCTGAAAAAACAATTGGCCTCAGGCAACATATTCTTAATTGTCTAAGTCATTGTGTGTGAGCAGGCATGCGTGCGCGCGCACACGTGTTTGTGTGCATATGCAAGCTGTGCATAAATAGCACACTTTCAATCTGTGTAAAATATAATGGATAAGCAGCAAATGACAGTAGGCTTAGCCCCTGAAGATTTACCAGGAAAAAAAGACAGCTGCATGGCAAAGCTGCTGCCAATAATTAGGGAAGGAATAGCCCATACCCTGTGCCACTCAGCAGCTTCAACCATTTAAATGACAGCCGGTTTGTTTAGCTCTGCAACCCCCGTTCATTATGGGCCAGGGGTTGATTTCGTCTTGAGCACACCGCTTTTGATTGTTGTCATCTCTGGTGAGATAATGAGATCATCATCATTATAAGATCAGGTAGGACATCATGACCGAAAGTCTCAAGTAGAAACTGTGATGGATGAGCAAAACAGAGTTGTTTTAATGTCTCTTTTAACATTGTAAGTGAGGAAAACCTATTTTTGCAACTCCCTGGACTTAGTTTTTTGCAGGGCCACCTTGTCATTTTTGTGGTTGACAAGAAAACGTTAAGGCTCTCTTGGGCTCCAGCAAGCTAAGCTGCAAGAACTGTCACAACACTCCCCCCTCGTGTAGAATGGCTCTCAACAGGACCGATTGGGAGGGAAATTAATAGGCTCCCCATTGTCACCATGCATTTTTGCCAGGATATTTCATTAGTGTAAACACTGAACCCGTTGTCATCTTGTTTAGCCACTTGACCCTGGTGATTTTCAATTCTGCCTGTGCCGTGATGGAGTACAGCAGTGGCATGCGCAAGACAGGCACTAATTATTGGAAGCAGAATCATCGCTGACCCAGTACTACAAGATTAACTGCCCCTTTGCAGTCTTTATTCTGGGACATTAGCACTGTCTGGTTATCTTGCTTCAGTTGAGGGATTCGGGACAATAGCGGTGCTGATGGTAATGTTGGCGATTTTCCTGTTTGTTTTGCAGGTCACAGCCAGGGGCTTTGGGCCGCTGTTACAGTTTGCCTACACTGCCAAGCTGTTACTCAGCAGAGAAAACATCCGCGAGGTCATCCGCTGTGCTGAGTTCCTGCGCATGCACAACCTAGAGGACTCCTGCTTCAGTTTCCTGCAGACCCAGCTCCTGAACAGTGAGGATGGCCTGTTTGTGTGCCGGAAGGATGCTGCATGCCAGCGCCCGCACGAGGACTGTGAGAACTCTGCAGGAGAGGAGGAGGATGAAGAGGAGGAGACGATGGATTCAGAGACGGCCAAGATGGCTTGCCCCAGGGACCAGATGCTTCCAGAGCCCATCAGCTTTGAGGCCGCCGCCATCCCCGTAGCAGAGAAGGAAGAAGCCCTGCTGCCCGAGCCCGACGTGCCCACGGACACCAAGGAGAGCTCAGAAAAGGACGCGTTAACGCAGTACCCCAGATACAAGAAATACCAGCTTGCATGTACCAAGAATGTCTATAATGCATCATCACACAGTACCTCAGGTTTTGCAAGCACATTCCGGGAAGAAAACTCTAGCAACAGCCTCAAGCCAGGGCTTGCCAGGGGGCAGATTAAAAGTGAGCCGCCCAGTGAAGAGAATGAGGAAGAGAGCATCACACTCTGCCTGTCTGGAGATGAGCCTGATGCCAAGGACAGAGCGGGGGATGTCGAGATGGACCGGAAACAGCCCAGCCCTGCCCCTACCCCCATGGCCCCAGCTGGGGCCGCCTGCCTGGAGAGATCCAGGAGCGTGGCCTCGCCCTCCTGCTTAAGGTCTCTGTTCAGCATAACGAAAAGTGTAGAGCTGTCTGGCCTGCCCAGTACATCTCAGCAGCACTTTGCCAGGAGTCCAGCGTGCCCTTTTGACAAGGGGATCACTCAGGGTGACCTTAAAACTGACTACACCCCTTTCACAGGGAATTATGGACAGCCCCACGTGGGCCAGAAGGAGGTGTCCAACTTCACCATGGGGTCGCCCCTCAGGGGGCCTGGGTTGGAGGCTCTCTGTAAACAGGAGGGAGAGCTGGACCGGAGGAGCGTGATCTTCTCCTCCAGCGCTTGTGACCAAGTGAGCACCTCGGTGCATTCTTATTCTGGGGTGAGCAGTTTGGACAAAGACCTCTCTGAGCCGGTGCCAAAGGGTCTGTGGGTGGGAGCTGGCCAGTCCCTCCCCAGCTCACAGGCCTACTCCCACGGTGGGCTGATGGCCGACCACTTGCCAGGAAGGATGCGGCCCAACACCAGCTGCCCGGTGCCAATCAAAGTCTGCCCTCGCTCACCCCCCTTGGAGACCAGGACCAGGACTTCCAGCTCCTGCTCCTCCTATTCCTATGCGGAGGACGGGAGCGGGGGCTCGCCCTGCAGCCTCCCTCTCTGTGAGTTCTCCTCCTCGCCCTGTTCCCAGGGAGCCAGATTCCTTGCCACAGAACATCAGGAACCAGGCCTGATGGGAGACGGAATGTACAACCAAGTGCGGCCCCAGATTAAATGTGAGCAGTCTTACGGAACCAACTCCAGTGACGAATCCGGATCGTTCTCGGAAGCAGACAGTGAGTCGTGTCCTGTGCAGGACAGGGGCCAGGAGGTAGGGAACCCACATAAATTCAAGCATGTAACCCACTCTCTAGGCCCTTTATCTGGACTATTCCCTGCCCCCCACCACTCCCAGATTGTTCTTACATGCTGAGATTAAAGATGGCAGTAGAGAGACTGCCTTCCCCATCCACAGAGGCAGGGTGCTGAATGTGATTCCACATTAACCACTTCCGTCCTAGAAAAGCACTTGATATTTGATCTGGATCTCAATACTCAACAAGCAGAGGCAAGCTGCTGAGTAAAAACACACTGAAGTCTAATGCATGAAGTGCACTGAGGCACTCCAGACCCCCCTCTTTCTCCTCCTTCTCTTCCCCCTCCTACATCTGCTTTGGAAGGATGCCATGTTCATCACCCTCATCCTTGCCCTTCACCCCTTCAGCACAAAGGAAGATATAGCATCTCTTTCCAGATTGATTGATTGAAACCAAATAGATCCACACTTCCCCAGCACCTTTTAGATTTTCCTTGTCAACAGAAGACCCCAGGGCCATCCCATGTCCGTCACAGTGAAGGTGATGGAAGGCTCACTGTTTATCCCAGGCCTGGGGTCATCACAGAAGCACCCTAGTCGGCCACACATAATGTATAATGGATGATGTCCCAAGCTCCCTCAAACGCTAGGAAGACATTTTGAGAAGTAGTGGGGTACAGTAGCAGTTTCATCCACCCTGAAAGCAATGTACTTGCTAGGAAAAATGTCCAGAGGCCCCATGTGTGTCTTACCATTGCTGGGAGAGGGGAACAGGGGCAACAGCAGCCACATCATGAGCAAGACTCACAAGACTAAGGAGAGGAAAGAAGAGGCCTCCCCCAGAGGACCCACCTCCCAATAACATGAACATTCCCTAGGAAGACCTGAGAGAGTCTGTGTCGTGACCTGGCGTTCATGGCACTGTCTTGCTGATTGACAAGGTACCAGCTTGAGACTGCTACCTGTGTCTCAGACGCCCCTCAGGAACGGTAATGAACAAACCCAGTGACAAGTCCCTTCTCAGAGCTGTGTATCCCAAAAACACAGGAAGAAATGAAAAGTGGTCCTCCTGAGGCCAGTAACCTTGGTACCCGTCTGCTCTCTGGATGTTACCAGCCTCTGTAAGGCAGAGATGTTAACCCAACCAGACAGCAGAAATGCCACATGGGATGAGGTGGCTTTTCACAGAGCCACATGCAGTTTATTCAGCCTCTGCAAGATTGGCGAGAAGCACATGAGGTTTTTAGTTTGGGCATGTTTTGAAAGTAGATGCCAAAGGCCCTATGCCAACTGCAAAAAATGCCCTGTGGTCACTTTCTTCTTTGCTCGCTAGCCTGGTTTCTTCCCCTCTCTTCACTGCCTAGCAGACATGGAGAAAGACAGAGAAACACTGAAAGGATTTAATTTAAAAGAAATTAGAAAGGAAATTTGAATGGGAGCTATTCCCATGCGAATATACCGTCTCTCCTTAGGTTTGGGGTGGCGGGTTGTGCCTCGTGCCCCAAGCCAGGCTCACATCTGTGTCCCTAACATTGGGAAGATCGAGCTTTCCTGAAAATAGTGAAGGCTTATGTTTTCTCTCTCCTTACTCATTCTTTCCCTCTGACCTCTTTAGTGAGGTTTTCCTTTTGTTCTGAAACCGTGAATGAGCGTGCCTGGTGTGGAAGGCTAGCCACTGCGTCCAGCTCATCTGCATCATGGCTTCCTACCAAGGACTGCTGGAGGGAGAAGAGGACAAAGGCCTGCAGTCTGTTTTTTGTCTCTCCTTTAAGAGGAGCCTGGGGCCAGGTGTGGTGGCTCAGGCCTGTGATCCTAGAATTTTGGGAGGCTGAGGTGGGTGGATCACTTGAGTTCAGGAGTTCGAGACCAGCCTAGGCAACATGGTGAAACCACATCTCTACCAAAAGTATAAAAAAAAAAGCCGGGTGTCGTGGCTCATGCCAGTAGTCCCAGCTACTTGTGGGGCTGAGGTGGGAGGATCTCTTGAGCCCAGGAGAAGGTTGCAGTGAGCTGAGATTGTCACTGCACTCCAGCCTGGGTGACAGAGTGAGACCTTGTCTCCAAAAAAAAAAAAAAAAAAAAAAAAACTGGCCATTAAGCTCAAGGGAAGCTTGTGTTTTTATGACATTTGCATTTGTTCGAAGAACTGTCAGTTTCAGATACATCTTCTTTTGCGCTCCCCACCCCCTCGCCCTGCCACCAATATCCCAAAAGAGAGCATAGAGTCATTTCTTGGAACTCGAGACCACAGCAAGAACACGTGTATTTTTTCTGTGTTGGAGCCATGTCAGTTGTTTACCTTAGAATTAAAAATGGTAACTCAATTAAAAGGAGGACTCATTCAACCTGTAAAACAGTCACAAACAGGACTAGCCTTCCCCCCTTGAGAAATACCCCTACTTTTAAAAATATTCTTATTTTTACCTTTAAAAAAAGAATCCATCTTCTGCATTCCTGAACAGTGAAAGAAGAAACATTTACCAAAGCTGTATGCCATTTTGGAAATCATAGTCCCTCTCAGTGGTACAGTTCGGACAGGACAGTTACAGTAAAGCTAAGGTTTTCCCCAATTTTACGTCTTAATTTTCCTAGAGTAGAGGAGGTTAGCTTTCCAAGAACTGTCTCAGGGACTTGCCGTGACTGCTGCTCAAGGAGTTGATAACCTGCTTTAGGGAGTTACTTTGACCCTGGTTGAAGTATTATCCCCAGTAATAGTGCTCAAGGCAGATCCTTCTCCACGAGTCAAAACTTGTTTTCCTGAACTGATCAGAAGAAGCCAGCATCTGCTGGGCTGATTCTGCCCTGCTCTCCTATGAGATCCAGGTGCCTTCTCTTTCAAGTGAACCCCAAGGAGACACCAGAGTCAGAAGTGAAGACAGGAGTTTCCACCCCTTGCCAGACACCAGTCTAATACTTCACGTGCATTTTCCCAATCTCTCTTCTTCCACCCCTGTAGGGAGCCAAAATGTTAGATCAAAAGAAAAGTGTTCACATACCTTATATTATGTGAGATGTTGTAGTTATACCATGTTAAGCAGCCCTTCCATCTCACAATCATTGGCTTCTCCCATCCTTTTTAACTGTTCCCTAGCTTCGAGAAAGATCAAATTAGCACAGTATTATCCTTTATCAATAATCAGCTTCTTAAAATGACACTCTTTTTTAAATTCTAGAACATAGCGTACCCAGCCCCAAACACACCAGATTTCACAGGCTCTCTCTTTGCCTGCAATAATATACAAATATATATTCACCTCTCTATGGGTTTGGGTTTTATTTTAATGGTATTATATTGTAGAGTTAGCAGCTTCCTTTTTTCACATAGCTGTCTACCATCCACATGGCTGTAGGTCAATCACATAGGGCCAAGACATGTTTCTCTAGTATCTCTGGTTCTTGTAAATCGTAGTTCATTCAGCTGTCACTTACCAGTGGACATTTCAGTTGTTTTCAGTTTTTCCCTCTGATAAACATGGCTGCAATAAACATTTTGTGAGCATACTGTTAGTAGTGGTGCTTTTATTTTTGTGGGTGAGTTTCATAGATGGGCTAAATGTTGTGCTCATTTTTTAAACACTACCTAATGACCTACCCAAAACGTTGTAGCAATTCACATTTCATCCAACAACTTAGAATGTCCAGTTTCCCCTATTCTTGCCCATACTAGTTGTCACCAGTCTTTTTAATTTTTGCCAATTTGATAGGCAAAAAATGGTGACTACTAATGAAGCTGACATGTTGTTTTGTGTGTTTTGAACATTGATATTTCATTTCCTGTGAATTGTTGGTTCACCTCTTTGCCCATTTTTTCTTTTGCATTGTTTAAATCAACATGTAGGAATCTTACTCCCCAATATTAGGAATATTAACCCTTTCTCATAAATGTTGCTTGGATATTCCCTTAGTCTGCTTCTTTATTTATTGTACCTTTTCCCATATAAAAGTTTTTTTAGTTTTATGTAGTCAAGGTGTAAGTCTTTTTTTATGACTTCTGGATTTGCTATATTCTTTAAGAAGTCAGGTTGGGAATTTTTCTCTTCCAATAAAAAAAAAAAAAATGAACAAGTCACATTAAGTGAAAATCACAAAACAGTATGCACAAGGTCCTAGTTTGTTTCCTAAATATGCACACCCTATAAATGAAATCAGTATAGAGAATAAGAAAAAACCGGGAGCACCATTGAAGAGGAGTGTAGGGAAAGTTTCGTTTCTATGTATGTATGTAATGTTTGAATTTTATGTAGGTTTATCTTTTAAATTAAGACATAATTCACATACCATAAAATTCACCCTAAGATGAACAATTCAGTGGTTGTTGATATATTCACAGTGTTGTACAACCATCACCACTGTGATAATTCCAAAACATTTTCACCACCCTAAAAGGAAATGCTGTACCCATTAGTGGTTATTCCTCATTGCCCACTCCCCTCAACCCCAGGCAACCAGTAATCTACCTTCTGTCTCTGTGGATGTACCTGTTTGGGGCATTTGTATAAATAGAGTCTTGCAAGATGTAGCCTTCTGTGTCTAGCTTCTTTCACTTTAGCATAATACTTTGAAGGTTTACCCTTGCCATTGATGTACTCACCAGAGATATTGTCATGTATTAGTCCTTTGTTCCTGTTAATTGCTGAGTGATATTCCATTATGTTGATCCATTTTGTTGACCAATACCACATTTTGTTGTTCATTGGTTGAGGGCCATTTGGGTTGTTTCCACTTTGGAGCTATTATAAATAATGCTGCTGTGAGCATTTGAGACAAGTTTTTTAAGACTTGTTTTCAGTTATTTTCATAATATTCCTAGGAGTGGAACTGCTGAATCATATAACTTTGTATTTAACCTTCTGAGGAGCTACTAGACTGTTTCCAAGGTGGCTATACCATTTCAAATTCCCACCAACAATGTATCAGGGATCCAGTTTCTCTGCATCCTTGCCAACACTTGTTATTGCCCATCTTTTTTGTTAAAGCCCTCTAGTGGCTGTGAAGTAGTTATGGTTTATCTCATT